TATTACATTACATTACATTACATTACATTACATTACATTACATTATTCTTTAGTAATGTATGTTACAATGTGTACATCTAATATTGTAAATTTTATAAGATGCTCTACCTACTGCTTAGTATCTCTATTCAGAATTGTAAATTTAAAGAATTTATCATGCCAATATTTATTATGTTGTTGTTCGTTTAAATACTAAACTTATGTATTTTATAAGGTAATTGGAATTAAGTGTTTTACATAATATATACCACATGTAGCTTTCCTTCACAATAGCCTCTTAGAATCAGTAGTATGATAAAGCGTGACTGCTTGTTCAGCTATCTTGATTTCTACCAGATTAATTTCCAGGCTGAAGATAGAAGGTTGAACAGTAACTAATCACTGGAATTATTACAGTATACTTAACTGTTATGTTACAAGAAAGTAGAAGTTTTTTTGAGACTCTCCCAAGTAAATTTTCTATATAAACTTTTATATTCATTATTAAACTGTTAGCTGTGGTTAGTTCTGTTCTTGGTGTGAAAGACATACATTTTGCTTCTTTTGAATAAAATCTAGAAAAAATGGAAGGGGTTTTTTGGAAACAAAACATATGTTTCTATATCATAAATTTCATTTAAATCATGAGAACTTTAGAAAGTACAAAAGGTAATGGCATTTTTTCATATTAATTTGCCTGGGAAAGTGAACACTTCAGATGGGTGCCAGAAAGATTGTAATAGAGATGCCAGATACATCTCTTTAGGGAAGACATTCCACAAGAGGGACGTCACCCCCAAAGCTCTTTCCTTAGTTGCTTAGTTTTCAGTAACAACATTTGGACTATATCCAGATATAAGCATTCTCTTGTATTTAATTATATTGGCTGCTTATGACTCAATGTAATTCAGTCCTGGTATGTGTCTTATTGTAAAGAAGTCACCATATACACACCAATAGCAAATCATTAAAGGCTGTGCAATATCTCTTTATCACTCTGATTTGTTTTGTTCAGTTTCCCCAATCCAATGCTTGTGAGCACATACTCTGTATGTATATGTGTGTATCATTTTAAAATAAATAATAGGAATTCCTGAATTTAAAATACTACAGATATTCAGTACCCTTTATTGACTTTTCCATTCATAACATCAGTATCACAATGAAGGAAACTATGTTTCACAATAAATGTTTAAGAACTGTATGTGAACATAGTTTAATGAGTAAAATAATTATCCTTAAATGACAATGATACAGCCTGGAATTTCTAGAAAACTATTGCTTGCAATTTGCATCATTTTCTGTTCCTCAAGTACTATAATATTTTTTAATAATATTTTTGAGCTAAATAGCCCACTTCTGTACATACTCAAATAAAATGTTTCTTCTATTCATAAGGGAAAACATAAAAAAGATAGAAACAAGGGTCAGAGCAATTTATCAGATGGTAGACACATAGTAATTTGAAATTCTGGAGCTAATTTTTTTTCTGCATTCTTGGATTGTGAGTAGGGCAGGAGTGGAAGGGTCAATGTTGATGTTGAAGTCATCCCTCCCTAAAAAAAAAGTCCTCTGGAATGTCATTGGATAATTGCATTTTTATTCTTTTCCTTTCAAATTATCTGAATTTTAAAAAATGGCAAAAAGATAAAACATGAAATGGTGACAAAATGATAGCAATCTTGATGTCCTGTAAAATTATCAGAATGAACTATTGTAAATGCAATGAAAACGTCCATCTCAAAGTATTTTGGAGAAGAATTTCAACAAAAGACAGACCTTTGGATGGTACTTAGGATACCTTCCTGTCAATGGAACAAACTTAGAATCTGAGTGTGGGAGTTTCTGAAAGTAGTGATGTCAACAACCAACAGTTGTCCAATTCAAGCCAAGAATTCAAGCCCTCCACTCCCCAGTCTAAACATATTCCTTTCCCTTATTTTTTTCCTTCATAGGTCTTATTTATAATCCCCTAATCATCCTTACTTATCTTTTGTAAAGCCTTCCCACTCCTTTTGGTAAAGCTAGAGACAGCACTCAAGGTGGGGTCTGTACAATGTTGACTAGAGTGAAAGTTCCTATTATTTTGAAATTTGTATTAATGCAGCCTAAACTGAATTTCCATTTTCACAACCATGATTCTTGCTGATTCGTAGTAAGTTTGTAATCAATTCTAGTTCTGAGATCCTTTTCACAAGAAGCATTGCTAAGCCATTTTGTGACAGGTGGCAGCTTTCAAATCCTAGAACTTGCACCCTGCCAGTAAAACAATGTTATATTTGGCCAATGGCACTTTTATTTATTTATTTTTAGCATGTATTGACTTTTGGAACTCATCAGTATCATAAGGAGCCTGTTTTACATGAAAGACTCCCTATACTCTGATCAGTAGTGTAGCTATTCTTGCTTTTTGTCCTTTATAGTTTCTTTATTTTGTAGAAAGAAGACAGGTGGAAGAAGCAGTGGACACAAGGCATTCCAGCCAGAACCCTCCCCTTCCCCTTAATCAATTTTATATATGGACAACACACTTATTCCTTCAATTCAAAGATTCCAGGGATAACCCCACAGTAAATTATATGACATACAGAAGAATGCTACCAGGAGGTGCTGCATTAAATAAAGCACTGCTACCTAGTTTAAAAAGGTAGTCATTATAAGTATAGTTAGAATAAAGTCTTAACGGTTCCCACCTATAACTTGCAATGGCTGTCCTTATTCTTGTGTTAGAGGATTGAATATCTGAAGAAGGAAAGAATGCTTATAGGTATTTCATGTGACCAAGAATCCTCATTCATTCCATAAAGTTCTAACTGATTCACTCTTATTGTCTGAAAAGGGCTTTAGATTGAAATAATGTAATTATTGATCTAAGTATTTGCACTAGTGTGTTGCTGATACATGATTGAGCTCTGTGCTATTGTCTTGGTATAATTTATCGTACATTCAAGTCGGATGTTAGTAAAAATATGATTTTTTCCATAATTTTACATTTACAGAACTTCAATTTCTATTCATTTTTTAAAAATTATCTTTCAATATAATGTGAAGCTGTTTTTCAGCTGAAAAACTAAAAAGTGTAACATAATGTTAGGAAATCACATCCCACTTCTGCAGCTTACAAGGAGTCTCTATGGAGCTTCACAACATGGCAAGGTTCCAATCTTGACACTTAGCTAGTCATTCAAAGATAAATGAATATTATTCAAATGTTATAATTCTGTGAAATGAATAACCACCAAAAAGGGAAATTCAGACTGAAGAACCTAATCTGATAATGGGACCTTCAGTTTATCATAAAGCTAAACTATGGGAGGTATGATCCTGGAAAGTATATCCATGTTGGTTTGAATATATATAGACATCATCTAATGATGGGGGAGAATGTATTTTAGTTACATTATTAACAGTATTTTTCACCATGTGCAAAAGCATTAAGTATCTGTTTTTAAAATCAATAACAGGATAGAACGTTAAAATAATCTGGTTATAATTTGTAAAACAAATGTTCTCCTTCTTTAACTACACAAATAAAGATATAATCCTTTATTTGTTAAATTTCTGGTCTTGTAAATATTTAAATATCAGTATTATGGCTATACTAAATTTTTTCTCAAATGGTCAACTTTTTTCACATGAACATTTTCTCAAATATCTTATTCATATTAATCATCTTTAACCTGCTTATACATATGTATATATATTAAAGAAAATTGAAGTAATAAAAAAGCAATAGAAGAGAATATATGTAGCTCAGGGTTGAACTGTGGAGTCCTTGGGGTTCTCTGAGCTTGACTGTTTTCTTGCAGACGTTTCGTTACCTGGCTAGGTAACATCTTCAGTGCTAGAAGGGAGTGGGCTTTGCTCTCTGTTTATATATAGTAGCTTGCCCTGTCAGTGTTGGTAGGGGTGTGGTTTTCTTCCTGGTAGTTTCTTGATTAGACTGTTGTTTACTGCTTGACTGTCTGTATGAGTTGGTAGTTCCTTGATTAGGGTATTATTTAATGCTTGATTGTCTGATGTTAATCCTGGTGTTAATCTCAGTTTATCTGGGTGTTCATTACTGGTGAGGAGATATTCTGGTCTTTTGTTTTCCTTTTTATTGTCTCTTTTGAATAGTGTGTAGA